GTTTTTTTAAAGAATGTTATGTTTGAGATTAAAAATTTTCCTCTCAAAATTCCTGTATATTTAGAGGAAGGGCTCTTGAATGTTTAGCTTGTGGTGGTGCTAGCCTCATGAGAGGATTAATCCATTGGCGAGTTCATGGCTGCGTCTTTTTAGAAGGTGAGGCCTTTTTGAAGAAGGTAGCTCCCTGTAGCTACTTGCCTTTGGATGACTTGTCTCCTCCTTGTCTCCTCCCTGCTTTCTGCTTCCAGCCACCGTGAGAAGCTCAAGAATCCTGATATTTGTCCCTGTGAGACAGGCAACCATACACTGAACCTTCTGATTTGAACCCAAATCAACTGCTCTTCTTTTAAATTCAAGGGCTGGAATATTTTTCTCACCAATGTGAAAGCTAAGTACCATAGAAGACTAGTACCAAGAAGTGGAGATATTTTTGTAAATGGTACCTGACCATGTGAATCAGAAGATTGTAAGGTAGGTCTGTAGGATGAATTGGAAAGTAGAGATGTGTGCTATGGAAGTTTTAGAACACAAAGATCAGGACTTTGGGAGATTCTGATGCAAAAGCTGATAAAAATGTGAAGAATAGAGTCTGGTTCATGAGGTTTCAGGTAAAAGTGCAAACACAGTTGATCAAAAGTTTGGACCTAGCTTACTGACATAGCAAGACTATCTCTTTCTCCAAAATACATTAAACTGAAAATGTCTATGAATATAGATTAGTGCTAAGGGAATGTGTGTAATTCTCAGTACTCAGAAAATAAAAAGAAGTTGGCAGTGGGTATGGTGTCAGACCCCTGTAGTTTTAATTCTAGAAATCCTGATAAGTACATAGTTATTCCATGAGCCTTCTGTCATATTTTTGAATGTCATTGTAATGAAATATTTGTCTATGGAATATGTTATATTTTGAAAACTGAGCATATTAAAATGATGCATGTTAAAACGTCACAAATATTTTTCAATTATGCATCAAATATTCAAGATGTGTCTGCTTCCATCAATCACATCAGCTCTGTCATCAACATATGTGTGTTTGGGCTAGGAGATCTGTCTACCTACCCAAAACTTGAGGGTATTAGTGAGCTTCAATAAAATAAATTGTAAGTTCACATAAAAAAAGTTTTAATATTTCAGGGAAATGGCAGAAGCTTACACCTTCACACGGCATGTGTTACAAAATGTGAATTCAGTAACCCTTTTTGATTTACATAAAAATGGTTTAAATCATTATTATATAATCTAGTAGATTCTATATTTCATCAAAATCTTTACACTATAAATTACTGAAAAAACAGAAATTACAAATAAAGTTTTGAGGAGAACAGAACAGCATTCAACTTCCAAACAAATGTGCCTGTACAGTTTCTATCACCTAACTCTTCATTGCTCTTGTGGGGTAAAGAATGTGGAGGCAAATCCTAAGCCTGGGCCTCTGCCTTGTACTACCCAGAACTGAGCCTCTCCTTTTCTGAGGTGAGAGTAAAAGGTCATCACTAGAAAAATGCTACATATGTCACTGGTCTCTTGGGCTGAAATATACCACAGAGAACTAACTTCATATAAACTAAGCACATCTGCTGCGCCTGTTCAAGAGTTGCTCTGAAATGCTTAAGTACGTGAAAATGGCTTTGAAGATGGGTGAAAGCTGGATTTCCAGGCCTAAGTATCTGTATATTAACATGTTCCACAAAAGACTGGAATGTCCATTTAAGAAAGAAAGATGTATCCCACAGAGTTACAATTGTATAAGTACTTTTAACTCATAAAGAATGTAGGAACTTAATTGACTTCTGCACAGATACATAAAAAGTATTTACTTTGAAGCTTTCTTAAGTGTAACTGCTAGGAAGACAAAAAAGGAAACTCTTCAGTTCTATTATAATTCCCTGTAAGCTGCTTGGCCTGGCAGGCTTTGTCCCATGTTCCAGGACTAAGGAAACCATGGCAGGGTCTGGCAGGCCTGGTGCACACCCTTCCTGGTCAGCTTGGCGCTGCTGCTGTGAACTGCTGGTCAGCGAGCTGTGCACCAAGGCCAGGGTGTCTGGCTACAACCAGGCTGCTTTCACTGGCAAAGTCTGAGGTTCCCCAGAACTCAGGCCAGACACAGACCTGGGATGTCAGACATAGCAGCTTACAGTTCCTGCCCTTTCCTGAGCTGTTACTTTCAATGAGAAATCAAGTCAAGCTCAAAAATAACTTGGATGACAGGAAAAAAACAAACAAACAAACAAACAAAAAAAAAAACAGAAAAGAAAAAGAACATACCTTCTCCAAAGCACCACAGGTCCAAGCGAAGTTCTCAGTTGCCTCTGACTGCTTGCTCTTTCTCTTCCCACTTGTTTGTCTCTTTATATCAGCTAAAATGAAAAGTGAAAGTAGACAATGACACTGTAATGAATAAGAGGCCCACTTTCAAGGTTTTTTGAAAGCTAATTATACCAAGATATATAATGTTGTATAAATGCTACAATTTAAACTAAAGTTAGGGACTTGTCTCCCCCCTCCCCTGAACCTGCAGAGGAAACTGGCAGGAATGAGGAAGTGAAAGACCAGAAGACAAAAACTGAGTCAGGTCATGGTGTGTTTATTGTAATGGGTCAACTCACATTTTAGATTATAAATGTAAATCTTGTGCTTTCTGTTGTAAATGTAGACTCACCACTGTTCTAAGTTGATTACTAACTAGTGGCTGTTTCTTGCTGTTTGCTAAGATAAAATTCCTATAACCCTCACCAATTCCTGTTAACAAAGTTAGCTTACAGAGATGACTT